CTGTATACTTAATAATTGTCTTTATGTATGTCGTTTATAGTTTCCTGAAGCTTTTACACCTGTTTCTAAATATTATTTTGAGATGTGCCGCTGGAATATATTGGCGATGTTACCAAGTTTATGTGCTCCATCATATACTGTTTATTTGTTGATTCTAGGGTTCATCACTTTCTGACTGGTTCCAAACCAGGCTTCCTGAGTGACGTCCTGATAAGTCATGCGGTTGGTGCTTGCAGCACACTCCAACGTTGGCATCACAGCCTGGCAAATAAGAAACTAACTCTATGAACTTACCAAGCTCTCTCTTGAAGAGAGTCAAGAATCTATTGGTAATTATTCTTGTATGTGAAGTGAGGGCTTTAAAAAATCTAATACCCTTTACACTTACTGAGTTCTCTGCTAGTGTATTTCTTCTGCCCCTTCTTTTCATTGGGTTTACATTGCCCCGTCTGCCGAGCCTCGTGTTCCCGTAGAGTGATTTCAGTGTATAGATGTGTAGTCGCAATGCTGCCTTCCAGGTCTTTTTTTGTTTTTGTCTCTGGGAGCAGTTTCACCCTCCATTCCTTTTCATGTTAGATTCACATCGTCATCAGGGACACACAAGATTCTATACCATTGGTTAGATGAGAAACTGTTGACTCCCCAGTATCAAACCTTATGTTTCTCCACACATCGCTCTCGTTCATACTTTCAGGTACTTCCTGATACACAGAAAGACTTCCCCTTACTTCTGCCTGTTTTTCTAGCTTGTATTTTTACAGTTCAGAAATGCTCATTCCACCTGACTGCCGTTCTTGTTGCACTTTGTAAACGTAACTGTTACATAGATTTCTCTAATTTGTCCAGGTATATGTTTAACTGTTGCTGAGGATTAGCTGTGTAAATAATAGTTACAGCTTTTGCCGCGGCATGTTATACTTGATAACATATTTTGAAATTTATTAGAGAATTAGAGTGTACTAAGACAAATGACTACTAGAAACATAATGAGCATATTTTAGGCGTTTTTATAGACGGCATGTCCGTAACACGGAAGTGTTAGCGTGGCTAACACATAGGAATGGTCGGCATCCCTTAGCTTGATGCACGTGAAAATAGAAAAACGTACAGTTTGATTGCATATATTTTTTTAAAATAACACGAAGATAAATGACGATAGAAATACTTTGGACTGCCTTGTTAGTTTTCTTGCTTATATTATTAATTGTTGATTTTATCTTGGGGATAGTTTTTGGGTCGGCAGAACAGTCTTAGATTGTGAGGGGTAATAAGGAGGATAAGAGGGAGAATGATGTGTCTAGGAAATAAAGTGGGAAGGCGGAAGAGAGACTGAGAGAATGTGAAGGTGAAGGTACAGGAGAATAATTGGGGAGAGGCGAGAAAGGAGAGTGAGGTGAGGTAGGCAGAAGACTAGGAGAATATTAGATGAGGAGGAAGGGTGAATGAGAGAAAGGATAAAGAAAAGATTGGTAACAATGACGTGAGGGAGCACAGGAGTGAGGACACAAAAGACTTTCAGGATATAAATTATAAGCAAAATGGAAGTAGTTGAGAAATAGAAGAAGAGGGAGTGAGAGGGAAGGGATGAGAGGTGAGGGGGGGGGGGTAGATGAGAATATAGAAAACAATCACAAGATGAGGGTGAGGGGGAAAGGTTGTTATCTTCTTGATAAATTGAAGGGAGTGAGGGGAAGGAGGGTCTTTTTCTTGGAGCGAGGAAAATATATATTTATCCTGCAAGTTGTTGAGGGTGTTTAAAAAAGAGACGCAACCCACAGAAAATACATGTACATGTTTATTAGTAAGCCACAGAAATTGTTATTTGAGTACAAATAGGAAGCGCGTCTGTCTGGCGCTCAGCAGACGGAGGATCAAGCCTCCACAACGTCATGCGCTGAATGATCCCCATGGATTTAGCGCTTAACATAATTAAAAGAAAAATACAGAAATTGTTGAATGCGTTGGTCATAAGCCTTTTCACATACCGTATTTTCCAGCATATAAGGCGCGCGTTTTTCCAACAAAAAAAGTTTTAAAAAATCACCCTGGGTCATATATGCTCAAGGTCAAGGTTAAGCTTTGGGTTACGCTTTAGCAATTGTTCACTAACGTTACGTTACAACTGCTTGGAAACATCGTCTTATATGTCTCATATGATGGTGTGCGCTTTATATGCTGGAAAATACGGTAAGTGTACACCACGAATATTGTTATGGTACGCTTGTTTTAATGTCTCTTGATATGCTATCTTCTGTACACTGACTGCTCTTCCAGTGTGTGAGGATTATTTAAAAGACACAACATTCATGAAAAAAATTAACAATAATGATTGTTCTTTTTTATTTGTAAGATGAAACCTAGTCTTCGATTCAGTGATTAATGAAACTGTAAAAAAAAAAAATGGGTTACATATCATAATATATATTGTCCATGGGTAGTGTTTCTTTTTTGAACACTCTGTATTACCTGAATTTTGTAGAGCAGTCTTGTAGTTTGTTTGGAAAGAATAACACTACATAAATAAGCTACCACTATGAAAAGCACGGCTGAAATTTTGTTTATTAAGCGTGCAGTAGCTGGGTTGGAGTATATTTATTTTTACATTCTTGCTCTGCGCTCCAGGGGCCAAGACGTACTCAGGTTTCATCTAATGCAGTTATGTACTCGAGAAATGTCAGGAGAGCTCATTTGCAGTGAGAGGTTCATATTGTCCTTTTGTAGTCAGTGGTTGTGTATTCAAGAGGTGCCCACTGGAGTCATTTGTACTGAAGGGGTCAAGCTGTTCACGAGGTAGGATGTTCTGAAGGATATAAGTCGTACTCCAGGGGCTTTATTCAACACGTTTGGCAGCATCAGCCTGGTTGTTCAGTCAATCTGCAGAAAAAGTTATCTTCAGGCTGGGCTTCGAGTAGAACAACACTCGAAACCAGTTACAGGTATGTTACAACTGGTTAGATTGTAATCAGTAAGTTTTGTTGTACTGTAGGGGCTCAGTGTGTTTGCTTTAAGATATCGACTGCGTGTGGGCCATGAAGTTCGTGATCACAATTTGATGATGGCTACGCAGTCCTCTGCTTGTTTCTGGCAGAAAAGCTTGGTTGATGAGGCTGTCAACAGCGAAGCTAGGCCTCAGGCTGGGCTGCGAGAGTAGGAGAACCCCTGAAAGAGCTTAGATCTAGGTGAAATACCGGAGGCCTTAAAGAGTGCAGACAAAGCTCCTTTGCATAAGGGAGGTAGTAGAGCACTAGCTAAAAATTACAGACTAGTAGCCCTAACTTCTCACATCATAAAAATATTCGAAAGAGTGATGAGACGGCAGGTTGCAAATTTCATGGACCAGCATAACCCGAACTAGCATGGTTTTAGAGCAGGACCATCATGCCTGTCACAGCTGCTAAACCATTATGACAAAATTACGGAGGCATTGGAAGAAGACCAAAACGCAGATGTGGTTTACATAGATTTTGCAAATGCGATCAAGGAGTGATAGTGCATAAAAAAGGGCCATGGGCATTACGGAGAAGGTAGGCAGATGGATTTTCGGGTTCCTAACACAGAACACAACAAGTAGTAGGAAACAGAGCAAGATCCAGCATCAGAGAGGTCAAAATCTCAGTGCCCCAAGGCACTATCCTGGCACATCTGCTCTTTCTCATCCTTATAGCAGACAGATCAAAATACCCGTCACACTTTTGTATCATCATTTGCAGATGACACTAAAATAAGCATGAAAGTCAGTACGGTAGAGGACACTGAAAAAGTACAGGAAGACATAAGCAGGGTTTTCCAGTGGGCAGTGGAGAACAACATGACGTTCAATGGTGATAAGTTCCAGCTGCTTAGGTATGGAAAGAATGAAGAACTCAAAAGGAACACTATATACAAAACTCAAGAGGGTCACCAAATAAAACGAAAGGAACACGTAAAAGACCTGGGAATAATTATGTCAGCCGACCTTTCTTTTAAGGAACATAAGACAAAGATCACAACAGCCAGGAAGATGACGGGGTGGGTATTGAGAACTTTCAAAACAAGGGAAATAATGCCGATGGTGACACTTCAAATCGCTAGTGCTCCCTCACTTAGAATATTGCTCAGTGCTGACGGCCCCGTTCAAAGCATGAAAAATATTAGAGCAGGAACAAATACAGAGATCGTTTACGACTCACATTGATCCAGTAAAGCACCTAAATTACTTGGAACGCTTTCAGATCTTCAACATGTACTCATTGGAGCGGAAGAGAGAGAGATGCATGATAATATATACCTGGAAAATACTCGAGGGCCTGGTCCCAAATCTGCACACTGCCATAACAACATAATGGAGTGAGAGATATGGGAGGAGCAGGGGTGCGGTGGGGACAATAAGGGAACACTGTATCAACATCCGGGGTCCCAGACTATTCAACAGCTTACCAGAAGATATCAGAAACATTGCTGGAACAAGTGTTGAAGCCTTCAAGAGGAAACTGGACAAGAATCTTCACCAGGTGCCAGATCAACCAGGCTGTGATGGATATGTGGGGCAATGGGCCTCCAGCAGCAACAGCCTGGTTGATCAGGCAAGCATCGGACGAGCCTGGCCCATGGCCGGGCTCAGAGTAGTTAAACTCTCGAAACTGTTCAAAGGTATACCAAAGGTAAGGTAAGGTATGTATATCATGGGTACTAATGTAAATACTATGTGGGACTTTTTTTTCCATTTAAAGTCGCAATAAATTTTTTTTTTTTTTTTTAGATTTCAGTATACACGTTCCGAATTCAAAAACTAAAATTAGAGAGCATTTTAAAGGTACAGGTAAAATAAAATATTGCTTTTAAATGTAATTCAGTGTTTAAAGAGAACTGTATTTGAGATTGTGGATTTTGTGTAGGTCAAAGGTACACAGTTTTACCACTAGTGATAATATTGACTGGTTTAATCTTTCTTGATATTGACTTGCATTTTTCGGGCTTGAAAAACCTCATCATCTTAATCATGTATTTTTCTTTCTTTTCAGAGCTTACCCAGTCTTGAAGATTATTTACGGTGAGTGTTGACGTTATGTTCGTCTATGTTTTAAAAATAAATGCAAATATAGCCGGGGTGATGAAATTATTTCGAGTCTGTATCTGTGCGCGTGACACTCGTGCCTGACTCAGTGTCATGTGCTGGCTTTCCCACCCAGCTTCATTGTTTACAATATACTGAACAGAACCTGATATGCCAGAGTGCACGCAGTCACTTCCACTAGTTAACCATATTCACAGGAAGGTGAGCACACACACAAGAACATAAAGAAGGAACATTGCAGCTGGCCTACTGACCCATGCGAAGCAGGTCTAGGTCACCCCCGGCTTAGACCAACGACCCACCTAGTCAGGTCACTTCCACTTTAGTAAGGACCATAGCATCAGACCTAGTAGCACAAGCTAGTCAGGTCCAACTCACACCCACTCATGTATTTATCTAACCTATTTTTAAAACTACACAACGTTTTAGCTTCTATGACGGTACTCAGGAGTTTCTTCCACTCATTCACAACTCTATTACCAAACCATTGCTTTCCTGTATCCTTCCTGAATCTGAATTTTTCCAACTTGAAACCATTGCTGCGAGTCCTATCGTGGCTGGAAATTTTCAGCACTCTATTTACATCCCCATTATTTATTCCTATTTTCCAGTTATACACCTCAATCATATCTTCTCTAATTCTACGCCTTTCGAGAGAGTGCAGATTCAGGGCCCTCAGTCTATCCTCATATGGAAGATTTCTGATACATGGAATCATCATTGTCATCTCCTCAGTACGTTTTCCAGAGCATTTATATCCATTCTGTAATACGGTGGCCAGAACTGTGCAGCATAATCTAAATGAGGCCTAACCAAGGATATATAGAGTTGAACAACCTGAGGATTTCTATTATTTATGCTTCTTGATATGAAGCCAAGGATTCTGTTAGCTTTATTGCGAACACTAATGTACCGTTGGCTTGGTTTTAGATTACTGCTAACCAGAACTCCTAAATCCTTTTCGCAATTAGTAGTATTAAGATCTACGTTATTTAGTTTATATGTTGCATGGTTATTTTCCTGTCCAGCATTTAGAACTTTGCATTTATCTATATTAAACAGCATCTGCCACTTCGATCATTGGATCAGTATATTCAAATCATCCTGGAGTGCTCTAATGTCTTCATTAGAATGAATTGGACGGCCTAATTTGGTGTCATCAGCAAATTTGATTATGTCGCTATTTATTCCCTGATCTATGTCGTTTATGTAGATTGTGAAGAACAATGGGCCCAGGACTGACCCCTGCGGAACACCGCTTGTGATCTGCCTCCATTCTGATTTCTCCCCATTTATGCAAACTCTCTGCTGCCTGTTCGTCAACCATGCCTCTACTCAGGAAAAAAAATTCTCCTATTCCGTGTGCCTTAAGTTTCCTCAATAGCCTTTGGTGTGGAACTTTATCGAAAGCCTTACTGAAATTCATATACACAATATTATATTCATTACCATGATCTACCTCCTCATACACCTTAGTGAAAAAAGTTAGTAAATTCGTAAGACAGGAACGCCCCTTTTGTAAAACCGTGTTGAGATGCTTTAATCAGCTTATGCCTTTCAAGATGGCTACGAATTGTTTCGGCAATTATTGATTCCATAAATTTTCGCATTATGGTGGTAAGGCTTATTGGTCTATAGCTCGAAGCTAAGGACCTGTCACCTGCATTGTAAGTAGGTATTACATTTGTCATTTTCCACTTATCAGGCACTATGCCAGTTTGTAGTGATATGTTGAAAAGATTAGCCAAAGGTTTGCTAACTTCCTCTTTACATTCCTTTAACTCTTGCTCTTGTATGTCGAGACGACATACGTAACATGACCGAGCTGTCAGCATAGTTGCTGATTCCTGTGTTGTATAGCATAGCATATAGTATCATCCATGTGCTTTATATAGAAGACCCCTTAGGCCTGTGACTGTATGACGTCATGGGATGCAGCTTGAGTGTGAGGCGAGCTACCTCGGCCTCAGTCGGCGTTTGACATAGGCTAGGACAAGGCAGAGGCTGGGCTCCATCTCCTATCATCACATTCTGACAATATATCGTTACCATCCAACCAGTGTGTCTACCTTCAACCCTCGATATCTCCTTTTAAGAACCCCTACGACATTGCAAACAGTTCATCAGGGCCTGGAAATTTGTTAGGTTTTAATTTCTTTATTTGTCTTAGGACCATGTCACTTGTTCCCCCAATCGTGCATAGTTTATTGTCCTGTTCTACATAATTTATTATTTCTGGAATATCGCTAGTATCTTCCTGGGTGAAAACTGAGAGGAAGTAAGTATTGAAAATTTCACACACATTCTTATCACTCTCAGTGATCTGACCTGAGTTACTCTTAAGTGGGCCTATCTTGCCCCTAATCTTACTTCTGTATACCTGAAAGAACCCTTTTGGGTTAGTCTTCGAATCCCTTGCGACCTTAGCCTCATAATCCCTTTTTGCTTTTCTTATTCTTTTTATTTCTCTAATTGAATATATTGATTTCTTAACAGCTCATCCCCTCTCTTGATATGCCTATATATGCCTCTCTTTTGACCAGTGAGATGTTTTAATCTATTGTTCATACATTTAGGATAATTTTTGTTAGATATAATTTCCCTACTCGGAAAAAAGTTGTCTGGGCAGCTAGAACTATGCTCTGTAAAACGTCATATTGGCAACCAACACCACCTACCTGACCCATAGTCAGGTCATCCCAATTTAGCCCACCCAGGTAATTTCTCTGTGCCATGAAATCGGCCAAGTGAAAGTCTGGGACAGAGATTTGATTGCAGTTATCTGGGCAATTCCATGATATATTGAAAGTAAGGGATTTGTGATTGCTTTCCCCAAGCCCATCATTAACCTCAAGATTATTAATTAGTGATTCTTTGTTGGCAACAACCAAGTCAAGCAGGTTGTTTCCTCCAGTTGGTTCTGTCACAGACTGTTTTAAAAAGCAATCCTGAACCGTATCAAGAAAGTTACTAGACTCAAGATTTCCTTCCACTCTTCCAATCAATTTATCTAAAGTTAAAATCTCGCATTAACACAACATTTTCATATCTAGATGGCTTATGAATTTCGTCCCATAACAGCTTATTGCACTCCCTATCAAGGTGTGGGGGCCTATAAATCACACCCAGAATTAATTTGCCATGGCTCTCGAGAAACTGTAGCCAAACAGATTCTATATCCGATGTTTCTAATCTGATATGTCTAAATCAACAATTTAAATTATCTCTGACATTGCCACTCTACTACCCTTCCTGTTGACCCTATCAGTGTGGAATAGTTTATAATCCTGTATGTTGCAATTAGAAGGCATTTATCTTTCAGGTTGAACCAGGTCTCTGTTATAGCAATAATATCTATATTACCTGCATTTGCAAGTAATCTTAGCTCATCAATCTTATTTCTTAGACTCCTACTATTTGTATAGTAAGCCTTAAGGGAGCTAGTCACTCCTTGCCCTCTACTGTCTCTTTTTTTGTTGTTGATCAATTGCTTTGCCTTCACTAGCAACTTTATTTTGAATATTGTCTTTTAAACATATCCCTGAGGTATCCTGGTAATATCTACTGTTTTCAACCCTAATACTGCAGCCTGATTGTTTCCCACAAGCACACATACCTCTATAATCTGTCAGTTTAAAGTCCTAGACAAGTCATCAATTACCCCCTCAATCAAATTGGCTAATGCAACCACTCCAGCCCCAGAGAGATTAACCCCATTCCTTGCATGCATATCACGTTTGCCATAGAATCTGTCCCAGTTATCAGTGAATGGGATTTCATGTTCCTTGCAGAAACTGTCTAGCCATCAGTTTATACCAATTGCCCTAGACATCCATTCATTGCCCACTCCCTTTCTAGGCAAGATGCTACATATGATTGAGATCTCTCCCTTAGACCTGACTACTTCTATGGCTGACGTGTACTTATCCAGTAGCACCTGTCTCCCGCCTTTACCATGTTATTACCACCAGCACAAGATATGGCTTGTTCCATTACGAGAACTGTATCCCAGACAACCTGTCTGACTATATTCACCAACATTTCAATTCTCTCTGAAAGCCAACCTCTCCTCTGTTCCCTATCCTGTTACAAATAGTTACAGTCCATGTATTTGCAATAGAGCACCAAACCCCTCAAACTAAACAATTATGGAAATTGAGTAAAGCTATAACTTTTCAGACCACAATTTGGTAAGTAGCTCAAAGGGCTAGACCTTGCCCAACTGTCGTATTGAGCAACCCTTCCTGCAAATTTTAATATTGTCTTTAAACATACTGAGCGTAATATCACGTTTTCAACTAATACTGCAGGTTTTTACAGACCAACCCTATATACAGTTTAAAGAGAAAATAAATTTATCAAATGGGCCTGGAGGTCCGGCAAATCAGTTATAAACTCCCGTTTGTGAATGGATAGAAGGGAGGCAGGATTAGGAACTATGAATCTGACCCTTCAAATAAAACTAGATTAGTACATGATCAGATAAAATGAATTCCAAAAAGTCTCATATCACGAAATTAATCTGTGAATAGTTGGAGGCACAACAAGTTTGTTGCAGTGCAAAGCTTTCTTGCAGTTGTATAAGCTGGGAAGCAGCAAGGTATGAATTTCCAGGTGTGAACCTGGAACCAGTGTCACGTGGGCGCCTGGGGTTGTCTTAATGGTCTCTCATTTCATTCTTATTTTTTCCTTTTATAATTTTCAATTTTTCCTTATGTATATTTATTATCATGTTCCTGTTCTTGATTTTCTTTTTCTTTTTATTTGATATGTTTCTTCTATTATTTTACCTTGCAACCCAAGCCACATAAGTTAAAGTATGGTAGGTACGTGGTTTGTCTCTTTAAATAGAAATGCGTGAATGTTTGCGAAGTGATCTTGTCAATGATTATTTAAAAAACATTATTGGTAGGTATCGTGATGTAATTCTACTAGAGCTAAGGATACTAAGTACATGATAATATATACCTGGAAAG